TGGGATAAAGATAGAAATGTTAAAAGCAGGTGGGGATATAGTTTTGGAGTGGTTGGTGCAATTATTTAATAAATGTATGGAAGAGGGTAAGGTACCTAGGGATTGGCAGAGAGCATGCATAGTTCCTTTGTATAAAGGCAAAGGGGATAAAAGAGAGTGCAAAAATTATAGGGGGATAAGTCTGTTGAGTGTACCTGGTAAAGTGTATGGTAGAGTTATAATTGAAAGAATTAAGAGTAAGACGGAGAATAGGATAGCAGATGAACAAGGAGGCTTTAGGAAAGGTAGGGGTGTGTGGACCAGGTGTTTACAGTGAAACATATAAGTGAACAGTATTTAGATAAGGCTAAAGAGGTGTTTGTGGCATTTATGGATTTGGAAAAGGCGTATGACAGGGTGGATAGGGGGCAATGTGGCAGATGTTGCAAGTGTATGGTGTAGGAGGTAGGTTACTGAAAGCAGTGAAGAGTTTTTACGAGGATAGTGAGGCTCAAGTTAGAGTATGTAGGAAAGAGGGAAATTTTTTCCCAGTAAAAGTAGGCCTTAGACAAGGATGTGTGATGTCACCGTGGTTGTTTAATATATTTATAGATGGGGTTGTAAGAGAAGTAAATGCGAGGGTCTTGGCAAGGCGTGGAGTTAAAAGATAAAGAATCACACACAAAGTGGGAGTTGTCACAGCTGCTCTTTGCTGATGACACTGTGCTCTTGGGAGATTCTGAAGAGAAGTTGCAGAGATTGGTGGATGAATTGGTAGGGTGTGCAAAAGAAGGAAATTAAAGGTGAATACAGGAAAGAGTAAGGTTATGAGGATAACAAAAAGATTAGGTGATGAAAGATTGAATATCAGATTGGAGGGAGAGAGTATGGAGGAGGTGAACGTATTCAGATATTTGGGAGTGGACGTGTCAGCGGATGGGTCTATGAAAGATGAGGTGAATCATAGAATTGATGAGGGAAAAAGAGTGAGTGGTGCACTTAGGAGTCTGTGGAGACAAAGAACTTTGTCCTTGGAGGCAAAGAGGGGAATGTATGAGAGTATAGTTTTACCAACGCTCTTATATGGGTGTGAAGCGTGGGTGATGAATGTTGCAGCGAGGAGAAGGCTGGAGGCAGTGGAGATGTCATGTCTGAGGGCAATGTGTGGTGTGAATATAATGCAGAGAATTCGTAGTTTGGAAGTTAGGAGGAGGTGCGGGATTACCAAAACTGTTGTCCAGAGGGCTGGGGAAGGGTTGTTGAGGTGGTTCGGACATGTAGAGAGAATGGAGCGAAACAGAATGACTTCAAGAGTGTATCAGTCTGTAGTGGAAGGAAGGCGGGGTAGGGGTCGGCCTAGGAAGGGTTGGAGGGAGGGGGTAAAGGAGGTTTTGTGTGCGAGGGGCTTGGACTTCCAGCAGGCATGCGTGAGCGTGTTTGATAGGAGTGAATGGAGACAAATGGTTTTTAATACTTGACGTGCTGTTGGAGTGTGAGCAAAGTAACATTTATGAAGGGATTCAGGGAAACCGGCAGGCCGGACTTGAGTCCTGGAGATGGGAAGTACAGTGCCTGCACTCTGAAGGAGGGGTGTTAATGTTGCAGTTTAAAAACTGTAGTGTAAAGCACCCTTCTGGCAAGACAGTGATGGAGTGAATGATGGTGAAAGTTTTTCTTTTTCGGGCCACCCTGCCTTGGTGGGAATCGGCCGGTGTGATAATAAAAAAAAAAAAAAATAAGTTATTTTTCTTAAAGCATGATATATGTTCATATATTTGATGTGTATGTGTATGCTGTTTTACTTGGATGTTCTGAGGGTATTGTATAATACAGTAGCATAAACCCAATTAATTTTAATATAGATATTGTAGAAGTGACCTAAACTAATTTCCATATAAATACCATAGAATTAACCAAAATTAATTTTAGTATAAATATTATGCAACTAACCCTTACTAATTTTAGAATGCTTTCTTTATTGTGACATGTAGATGAACTTCCCTGTGATCACATACACTACTGGACTTGTGGGGACCCTAGTCATATGTGCATCGAGCGAAGCCGTCACTGTGATGGTTTCTATGACTGTCCTGATCATTCTGATGAGCGTTACTGCAATTGCACTTGTGATGAGTCTTTCCATTTCAAATGCAATGATGGTGTTTGTCTTGATGCCAGTGTACGATGTAATTTAAGAATTGACTGCCCTGATGGCTCCGATGAATTAGGGTGTTCTTGTAATATTAATACTCATCATACATGTGGAGATGGATCTTGTATAGACCTCCAGAGAGTATGTAATGGTGAGATTGATTGTCAAGATGGAAGTGATGAGCCTGCAGAGTGCATTCCAAATTGTGATCCCATTACTATGCACGAATGTGGAGATGGAGTGTGTATAGATATTCGTCAAGTATGTGACGGTGCCATTGACTGTAGAGATTATAGTGATGAACCATCCAGCTGCTATTCAGTTTGTGACCCTCACTACGAATTTACTTGTGGAAACAGACAATGTATAGACAGAAGGCTAGTATGTAATGGTTACAGTGACTGCAGAGATGGCAGTGATGAATATTATTGCACAAATTGTAATCAATATCAGTTTAAGTGTGGTGATGGATCTTGTATTGACCGTCGACTGCTCTGTGATGGCAAGCCTGACTGCTCTGACCAAAGTGATGAGAGGGAAGGTGATAGTTGCTGTTTGCCACCACACTTCTTTCTGTGTTATGATGGCTCGTGCATCGATGCACGGCGAGTCTGCAACAGATACTCTGACTGTATTGATGGTTCAGATGAACTTGAATGCCGTAAGTTAGTAACAAAATTATTACAAGGAAATATTCTTTCCATATGTTTAGGTTTATACAAGGGAAGTATATCATTGCAAATATGATATATTTTATATTCTACTGTACTGTATCTTGCTGAACTTTTTATTCTTGATCTATGCAAGGATTTGGGTGTGTCATACATTTGTATTGCTATTTATGAAATTAATGATTTTCAACTAATTAAAATTCCTGATATTGATAGTTATACAATGAAGTTTGAAAGATGATTATGCATAAAAGTTCACCAAGGGTCAGTCTGCATAATTTTTATTGTAAAATATTTTGTTGCTTGTACTGAAGTGTTTGATATTGAAAGTAATTGTGAAATGTTACTTGCTTTTTCATTTTTTTTTTTTTTAGCTTTGTTTCTATAAATATGTATACTCTGTTTATATAATAATCAGGGGAAGTGCTAAATCCATAGGGAATACAAATGGAAGCTACTCAGGTTTGATCCAGTGATGGGAAGAGTAGGTCCACTTTCTTGAATTAAGAGCCCCTCACCTTAATGGCTCTGTTCTTTATACTGTAATTGTTTTATGTATAATGTATGCTGGTACTTGTATATTTATAGAAAAAAAGTAAAATTCATGAAAGGATTCGAGAGAAACTGATTAGTTGTACTTAAATGCTGGGGATGGGAAATATTGTGTTCTAGAAAGGTTGTTTGTATTAGGATTTCCAATGCAATCCTAGACAGTTAGAAAATGAGTGATAGTAACTGTGTCCTTCAGGTCACCCTGTCTTAGAGGGATAGTAACTGTGACCTTCAGGTCACCCTGCCTTGGTGGGAAACATTTAGCATGTTAAAATATTCTGTGTTCAGATTCTAATGAACCATTTAGGAATAGAACCTCCCTAGTTTTACATCTTGTGCAAGTTTTGGACTTCTCTATCACTTTTACCACCACTGTGTCTTATGATGGCCATATTGTAGGAGCCTCATTTGTCTCTTGGTAACTGAGCTCCAGGTTCTCTCCTGCTGTGGAACACCAGTGAGAACAACTGACGTGATGTAGCAGCAGTCTCCATTGTTCATTAAATTCTACACAGAATGCATTTGCATACTTTAAATGCACAGGGTACACTCCTGAAAATTTGCATGTAAATTAAAATCTTGCTAACTTATGGGAAGAACATATGGGGAAAATATGGTTGCATTTAAGATATCTCTAAATTTGCTAAACAGATAAAAAAATCTACTACATCAAAACAATACAGTTTTTCTTACTTTACACTGAAGAATTTGAAGAGTATGGGGAGAGATAATGTTGGCATTCAGCATTGCTAAATGCTTCTGCCAAGAGGCTTCCAGCAATTTTTGGTGTTGTGCTTTCAAATCTAAGATCAAACAAGATTTCTGTTGTGGGTAACAGAAACACCTTTGTCACAACATTGGGAATTTGTAATCTACTCTCTTAATCAGTGGCTCCTGAATAATGTCTTGAACTCACAGTAACAGGTAACTAGCCACTAGTTAGAGCAGTAGACACTCCCTGAATTCTTATACTAAAAGAGGAGAAGACTAATGAAATTGGAAGGTGGAAGGAGGTACAGTATATGAGGGTAGGAAGATAGATAGGTCTAAAAGTGGCACAGAAAGAGGTAAAACTAGGAGGGTGTATTCTCAGGTTATTAATGAGAAACTTACACAGAAAGCACACTAGTTTTTCATACTTCAAAATGATGTAATATGTTTATGTTTTAATATCAGCCATTTCCCATCATGGCAGGGAAATACACAGAGAAATCACATTCATCATCACTCATTTCCTAGCTATTATATACATACATACATGCATACATACATACACAATACATATATACTATACAAGGAGAGGCTAATGTGATTTAATTTAACAGTGTTGGAAGACAGAAAACCACATGTAGGTGAGTACATACGAAGACACACATATATGCACATAAGAGGGTGGGGATGATGTTGCCTGCATCTTAGGCATTTGGTCCTCTCCACAAAAATATGGAATATTTAAGACTTCCTGTTAGTTACATGTAACTGCTTCTAGCATGAATGAGCAAGATTCCAATAAAGTTACAGTAATAGTTGATAATGCTATCTAGGGTTTATTTAGGATCCAATATGTTTTATCAAATATATAGCAGTGTATTTTCTAATACAATTATTATATCACTTGTACTGTGAATGGCATGGACATTGGATAGCTGGTGAATGTGACCCTGCTGGCAGCCACTTCATACGAGCAGACCCTAATACTGGACTGTGTCATTGCAAGGTAAGATTGCACTTATATGTTAAATCTAGCAAGAGAAAACATAGTTAAATGCTAACATCAATTAGTTAAATGCTAATATCAATTTTTCATTCAATTCAGTCAACTTAGTAATTTATTTTTGGTAGTTTTATGTTTACATACAGTATTTACTCTAAAATATTATTAGAGTCAAACAATTTAAATTTTAGCCATAATACAGTGTAGTTTACTTATTAACCCTGTTGGGGTCAGTCCCGTTGTACTACGGATTTGAAGCGTGTTGGTCCTGTAGTACTACGCCATGAGCTTAGCTCACTCAGATAAGCTGTGAGCAGTAAATTTGGGCCCAGATATGAGAGAATGTGTCTATGTGGTAAGTGTGCACCATATAAAAAAAATCCTGCAGCACGTGGTACATAATGAGAAAAAAAAAACTGTGACTGTGTTTTTGGTTTAAAATAGCAATTTTGCATTGTATATTCATATGGTTTTTATGGTTGTATTCTCAGTTTCTTGGTTTCATTTGATAGAGTGGAAGATATATTACAGAAATAGAGATGATTTTGACTGGTGTCAGTACTGAAAGTAGCTTGAAGTATACATCAAAATAGTGGAAATGTTCTATTTTTGCCGATATTCCAGAGGACGCAAATCATGTTACTTGTCCAATACGCGTCCAACTGATTGATCTAATGTGTGTTCACAAATGCACTGACATTATATATACAAGGCGGGCAAAATTGCAGACCTTGAGAATATACAGAGAACTTTCACACCACGTATAAGTATGAAAAAGCACCTAAATTACTGGGAATAGTTAAGGCCCCTTGATTTATTCTCCCTTGAATGCAGGTGAGAAATATGCATGATAATATACATTTTGAAATCTGCGCGTGAAAATCACTCCCTACAAGCAAAAAACTCAGCTAAAGATGCAATATCCTCCCAGTGAAAAGCAAGGATGCCATGAGTATGCTGAGACAACACAGTAAGTGTCAGGGGCCCAAGACTGTTCAACTGCCTCCTAGCATACATAAGGGGGATTACCAGTAGATCCCTGGCTGTCTTCAATAAGGAGCTGGGCAGGCACCTAAAGTCAGTACCTGACCAGCCAGTCTGTGGTTCATACATTGGTTTTATGTGTGGCCAGCAGTAACAGCCTGGTTGATCAGGCCTAGATCCACCACGATACCTAGTCACGAACCGTGCCATGGGGCATTGACCCCCAAGTTCCCCTTCAGGTATACTCCAGGTATTCTCAGTAGTAGTAACCAGTTACCAGTAACCAGTGTACCAGTAGTTGACTCACTACCAACCGTCTCTGCCTGAGTCACTGTCTATTCATATTGTGCTGACCACAGCAGTATTCAAAGACCCCCTCACATATGGGTACTGTGGGCGGCCAGTCAGTGTTACGAGAGTGAGCAAGGAGACAAGGTTACGGCTGTTAGGGCGCTCCCCACATTATCCGTAATTATACGTACTTCCAGCCTACGTGAGTATTACTTTACCCTATCCACGTGTACGAACTCCCACATGATAGTATGGTAATCTTATGGATGATAATATACAGTAGTTGTCCAGACCTAAGGCAGTTTATTCAAGCTGTTTTGCTTAAATCAAGTACAATGAATCCATTGCTAAGTGTCAGTTGCTATTTAAGCAATGACTAATTTTTGTAGGAGGGAGGGTTTCTGAAAATATATTAACAGTCGTAGTGCGAGAAATAAGATGGATGAATTGAGATTAGTTGCAAGTGCGGGTAACATTGATGTTTTTGCCATAACGGAGACGTGGTTTAATATGAAAAATAGGAACCAGGCCTGCTGAACTCTCATTCAGGTTTGCAAATTTCCAAGTAGACAGAAATATTGGAAACGGGGGTGGGGTGGCACTCTATTTTCTGAGATCTTTAAAGTGTTGCATGCACTAAAAACTGGTATAAAGTCCAAAACACATACTGAGTCCTTTTTTGGGTAGAAAATTTCAGAGGGGCCTGAAATATTATTTTAGGTGTGATATACCACCGCCTCAAACTGGATAGAGATCAAGGAAGACGACTGTGGGAGGAAATTGTTAAGGCCACAAAGCACGACAACGTTGTAATTCTAGGAGACTTAACTTTAGTCCAATTGACTGGAAATTTTTTGACAGGGAATTAGGAATCTTAATGACTGTTTTGAATTAGTGGGCAGGATTGTTTTTTGAAGCAGTTTGTGACAGAACCTGCAAGGGATAAATACCTTGCTTGACTTGTTCTGGAGAACAAGGAATCACTTGTTAATAATTTAGAAGTATCCAGAGGAACTTGGCACAAGTGACACAAATCAGATTACCTTTACATTGAATGGAAGTATAATATTAGGGGATAACTGCAGTAACAGTCTCAAATTCTCGCTAGCATTTACGATGGGCTTAGAGAACACTGATCATCTGTTGACCTGGGGTAACTAGAGAGCTAGTCGAATACGAGAGTTTTTCTAAACACTATTCATGCTGCCGCAGAGAACATCCTATCCTGTACAGAAATTAGATCGAATAGAAATGACCCAAAATGGATGAATAATAGGCTCAAATATCTTTTAGGACAGAAAAAAGGAATTTATAGGCACATCAAAAGAGGGGAGGGTCATCTTATGAATCATTATACACGTACTGACATTAAGAGGGACATTAAAAAGGGGATACGGAAAGCTAAACAGGACTATGAAATTAAAGTTGCTAGGGAATCGAAAACTAACCCAAAAAGTTTTTTCAAAGTATGTATATAGAACAAAAGTTAGAGATAAGATAGGTCCCCTTAAAGATAGTTCTGAGCATCTTACCGACAAAGAGAATGAAATGTGCTCTATTCTTAATTATTTTCTCTCAATTTTCACTCAGGAGGACACTAACAATATCCCAGTAATAAATTTTTATAGTGGGCCTGAAGACGATAAATTATGCAATATCATAGTAACTAGCGAAATGGTTATCAAACAGATAGACAGACTGAAGATTGATTCAAACGTAGATGTTAGGGAACTTCAGGAGGATTTAGACAAACTCTATTCTTGGTCAGAAAAGTGGCAGATGCAGTTCATTGTAGATAAATGCAGGTTTCCGGAAGCTTCAGGAGTGTCCATAACACTAGGCTCTTATAAGTTATATGATTAGAACTTAGCCATACAGATTGCGAAAAGGACTTGGGGGGGGGTTTTATGGTGAGCAGCCAACCTTAAACGCAAGACAGCAATGCCTAAGGTACCTAATAAGGCAATAGATTACTGGGATTTTATCAAAGAAGTGTAAGGCAACAAAAGTCCAGAGGTGCATACTGCCAGCTTTTATACATCATTAGACAAAGGCCTCACCTAGATTAATGCACTCAAATTCTGGTCTCCATATTACAGAATGGATATAATTCATTAAAAAACATACAGGGTGTAGGATGACTAAGGTTAATACATAGCAATAGAAATCTCCTTATGAAGAAAGATTGAAGACTTTTAAGTTACATTCACTTGTTAGACGAAGAATAAGGGAGACCTGATCGAATTTGTATAAGTAGAAGATAGGTATTAATAAAGGGGATATTAAAAAGGGTTTGAGGATATCTCTCCAAGAGAGAACCCGCAGAAATTGGATTTAAATTAGAAAAGTTTAGATTTAGAAAAGACATAGGAAAGTATTGGTTTGGAAAGAGTGTAGTTGATGAGTGGAACAGTCTACCTAGTTGGGTTATTGAGGCTAGGACTTTGGGTAGTTTCAAATTTAGGTTGGATAAGTACATGAGTGAGAGGGGTTGGATTTGAGTGGGACTTGCACATCAGAGCTTATTTCTTGGGTAGCATTGAAAATTGGGTTGGGCAAATGTTTGTTAGTGGGATGAATTGTAAAGGACCTGCCTAGTATGGGCCAACAGGCCTGCTGCAGTGTTCCTAATTTCTTAAGTTCTTAGTAGTAGCTGGGCAGTCCTAGGACACCATTCAAGCTGATTTGTTTTGTTTAGGCTAGGGACAGTGGTACATAATTATGCCATGCTATTTTAGTCAGAACTGATCCATTAAAGCAAAAAAAATCTTCTATTATGTATTAACAGTACAACTTAAAAATGTTATAGTTTGACTTAAAATGTTACAAAATTTTTATAATTTTACACCAAAACTTAATTAACTTAATGCAGTGTAGTTTAAGCATACCCAACTTATATTAAGTCAGCCCAAATTTAGTTAGTGTTACAGTGGAACCCCGAATATCGGCCGTAATCCATTCCAGAAGGTCAACCTAAATTCGAAAAGGCCTAAATTCGAAGCAGTATTTCCCCTAAGAATTAATGTAAATACAATTAATCCATTCCAGACACCCAAAAATAATAATAAAAAAAAATACATTTTGTAAAGTTTAATTATAGTTTTACATACACAGAACAATGACAATTACATATAAATAAACATTTAAATCATTATTACATACCTGTATTGAAGACTCTTGTTGGCATATGAAAGACAGGGAGGAGGGGAGAGGGAGGAGGAGAGGTTATTGTTTGGAAGGGGAATCCCTCTCCATAATGACTTCAGGTATCAAGTCCCTCTCTTGAGTTACTTCCTTTCTTTGTCTTTTAATGGCACTAGGACCAGCTTGAGAGTCAATGGACCCCTGTTGCACAAGAAAACTGTCCAGAGAGGTCTGTTTCTGGTGCCTCTTAAAGATTTGCCTGAAGTGGGTCAAGGTTTTGTCAATGAAACATGTTGCAGATATGGCTTGTTTCAGCTTGGTCAGGGTGATATTTCTCAGCAAAAGCTTGCACCCTACTCCACATTGCACAAATCTCCTTAATTTCTAAAGAAGGCACCTCCTTTCCTCTCTCTTCCTCCTTCCCTAAAGCAAGTTCCTCAGCTGTGGTCTGTTGCTGTTCCAGTTGAAGGTCTTGCAGCTCTTCAGTGGTTAGCTCTTCCCTGTGGTCCTCCACCAGCTCTTCCACATCCTCATTTATTTCACAGTTACACGTAATAAACAAGCACAAAAACCAATGGATTTTA